ATAAATGCAAGATAATGCATATGGGTTATCATAATTTGAATTATAAGTATAATTTCAATGGGAATAACCTTAACAGTGTTATAAAGGGATATTTAGAGTCCATCAGACTCTAAATCCATCCAAGCAATGTGCTGTTCCTAGTGGTAGGGCAAATAGGATTTTAGGTTGTATCTACAGAAATATTGAATACAAGTCTAAAGAGGTTATAATTTCATTCTATAGGTCACTGGTTAGGCCAAAGTTGGTGTGTTTTGTTCAGTCTTGGGCTCCTTACCTTAGGAAGGACATTAAGTTCTGGAAAAGGTTGAGAGGAATGATACTAGAATAGTGCCGGGGATGGAGGGGTTGTATAATGAGGATAGAATAAGATCTCTGAAATTGTTTTCTCTTGATAAAAGAAGAGTTAGAAAGGATCTTATTGAGGTGTTTAAGATTGTTAAAGGGATTGATAGTGTTGATGTATCATCTTTTTTCATACTTAATGGTGAGAATGGTTGGACTAGGAGACATAAATATAAACTTTGGAAGGGTAGGAGTCATCTTCAGCTAAGACAGCTTTGTTTTTCTAACAGGGTGGTTGGACTTTGGAATGGATTGTCTTCAGGTATTGTAGAGGCAGTACATTTATATTAATTTAAAAGAAAACTTGATAACTATGAATGATAAAGGATGGCTTTGAGGTTTTTGTTATTTAATAGTTTTAGTTTAGTTTAGGCGATGGGATAGCCTAGATGGACAGGTTGGTCTCTTGTTGCCCCTAAGCTTTTTGTAGATAGTATCAGTATTTCGCTCTCTCTGCACAGAAGTTGTAACATTTGGTTCAGTGAGAAGATGGTAATAAAGTAGTCTGTTTTCCTTTCAGAGTAGCATACTTTTTACCTGTAACCTCCCCGACTACATCATGAGAGGATATCTTAAACAGAATTAACTCTTTAATACTTCAAGCATCATACTTGTAGTTTTTGTATCTGTGGCTTAGCTGTCTTGTATTGGTAGTTACATCAAAAAAAGTCCTGAAAAAATTATTATGTTCATGTATGCTAAAGCATGAAGGCTATGCTTCAGATATGATATATTTTTTCATACGTATGCATATAACTATACTGTTCTCAGAATCTTTTTTTAAGGGAGAGGTTTTATATGCATTGCTTCAGTTCTGTTTTTAGACAAGTTTTCCACTTGAGAGTAAACCTTCCACTCACCTTTTCTTAGTCTAACAGTTATTTGTTGATCTTTTTGTAGCAGTTATGCTTTTGTGTCTATAAACACTGTGACTTTATAATTACTTTTGTTTCAGAGGCTGCCTCTAACATATTTACTAGGAGCATTTTGTTTTTTGCTATTGCAAAATACTTTGCAATACCAGAGAATAAACTGATCATATGATAGCTTGTTATTACCACTGAAAACAAGGCCTCAGAGCTTTGTGAGTATTCTTTTATGGTTGTCTGAATTGTTTACCAAAATTCACTCTTCTCTAGTTAGACCTCTTTTTTTTTAAGAAAAGAACTGGAGATTTTTGTCCTAGATCTTTTAAGATGGGAGGAGGCTCTAGACTTAATTTGGTCTCTTACTATTTTTACCACGTATATTATTCATTTTACATTTTTGCACAGGAGGCTTTATTGGTCTTGTCAAGATCATGTCTCTGTACATTAATCTGGTTAGCATGTGATACCACCATCACCAAATGCCTGTCACTGTTGCTTTTTTTATTTTTTTATATAGAACTTGTGGATTTTCCAGGCTCTCTGGAACATTCTTAGGGTGTGATAAATCCAAGTTGTTCTGGGATTGGAGACTTCTAGCCCATAATCATAATCAAAAATATTGCAGTCAATAATGGCTGGAGATGGCTTAAATGGGTAATAAAGAAAAACTTTAATG